GACGTAAGTGACGTGATGAAGCACAATTATATACAATTATTCGCGATAGTAAATAAAGACTAAATATTTCTTAGAACGTAACATTAAACAAATTTTTTCGTAAAATCGAATATAAACTTACAAAGAAAAATGTAGAATAATGCACTGAAGAAGTTACTTATTTCATTTTTGTAATTTCCACTCACTAATACTTTTAGGATAATAATGAATTAAAAAATCCCTCCGTTTGATTTGCTTAAATTTTAAATAATAAAACATACCTTTACGTTGCAATTTAGGCGTTGGAAAAAATGGGAATATTGTTTTGCTTTCTTTATTGGAAACATAGAAGTTGTGAACCTCATCAAAAGTCCAATCATTTCTTCTTCCAAAAAAAGCATTAGCCTTCGACGACAAAAGTAATATTGACAATGGAAACAGAATTTTTGATGACATCTGAACTTTTATTTAGTTTTAGCACAAATCAATCTTTGTTTTCAATAAAAGATAAAATGGAAATATGAAAAGTCAAATGATACGATATCAATAACGATAAATAAATGTAAATAAACACTTCAGAAATACTAAAATAACTGTAGAAATACGTGTACCAGGTTTCAGTTTCCTTACTGCATGTATACTCTAGTCATTGTCATTGTTCACTTTGTTTTAGCTATCCGATCATTAATCCTACTCCTAAGATAATACCTCCTTTTATTGAACACATTTCAGGTGACCAAATAAAATTACAATGATATGAGGTTAAAGGTCAAAATTTTGTATTTGCTCTCATAGTATTTTCTGCATTATAGTGAACCAAAGAGTTTACTACACTGACCCAAAAATATATGGTCTTTGACCTTTCAGGAAAAAAATAATAGTGATTTGAAAACAAAAGCATAATGAAAAAAAGAAAATTTTCCAAATTTTGAGGAATAACTTTAAATTACTGTGTTTGATGACTATTAAAATAATAGTCATCAAAATAGTAATATAATATTTTTCTAGAATTTTAGCTGTTTTTTTTAAATTTGCATTTTTAAGGTACAAAAAATGCTTCTCAGTTTTTTAAAACAAACTATTTTCATAAAAAGTGTCATGCGCTTTTCCATTATTAATTAATTACGCATATTATTTGCAAAATTTTTTATTAGCAAGGATACTTCACAAACAAATTTTGGTGATATTCAGTCTGTGTGATTTAAAAAGTTGGTTTACAAACATTACTAAGTGAAATTTGATATTTTGTAAAATATATAATTTTGGATATTTTCATACAGTAAATTTCACAAAAATTACAGTAACTGTACATTTCAAACGTTCCAGCAAAAAAAAAATATTTGATAAAAGTTTGCTAATTAAATTTCATTTAGAGCAATTACCTGTGCTTTGCAATAAAGAAAGAATACTGCATTCAAATTAGTCTAAAAGTCACAAATAAAATATGCATAACTGAGGTCATTGGCGAAAAGTATAAAAAGTAAATTAACTTTGTTAAACACTCAATAGTTGCGTAAAAGCAAGTTACCACGCCATGAAAGAATCGAACGTTGGGCGTATTGCATTTGGCGTCTGTGTTAGCTTAGCGATGGTTTTCACTTTGATTTCTTTATTAACGCCAGGTAATCAAGGTTTATTTGCGTCGTTTACATCAGATTCAGTCTTGTATTTGCATTCAAGTTAGCATCATGCTTATCCAATTAGTAGTCTAATATTGCCAAAAAAAGATATTCACTTTCAGCCTGGCGGACATTCCAGAAAAGAGCAAAGCACTCAAGACTGAATATTCCGACTTCTATCGGTCTCCTTCGATATCAGTGCATTGAATATCTAAATAACTATGCGTATTCAAAAAGCGGAGTAGAAATACTGAAAAAGAATTTCTGCGATTACGTCTTTAATGTTCGTCAAATATAAGCTCAGTATAACGTTATGTCTAATGTCGGATATTTTTAACGTAGTTCCAAACAGTTTAGAAATAAAATTTTGTCGTGCCCTCCTAGGCAGACTTTCTTGAATCTCTGATTTAATAATGAACTAATTTCAATTTAATTATTTCGGACTGAAATTTATATTTTAATTAAAGAATATCAGAGATCTTTCAAGGGATTATAATTGTTTTCAGAATCAGGCTTCATGGGATAAAATGGTATTATATACGTTGATATCTTCATTCATAATTGAATTAGTCTCAATTATATATCTGTTTCTTCCACGAGATTTCTGTTGTGAACGCTATGAATACATGGCTCTTCCATTTAGTATTTTTGCAACATGTATAATAACTCTTCTTTTGTATGGAGTTATTTCTTATGCTTTAAGATATCAGGAAATTACAAGTAAGTTGCAAAAAATTGCAAATGCAATATATTAACTGCCTAAAAAATGTCTGCTATACTTCAAAAAAACTACATACTAAATAAAACTAAAAACTATATTCAAAATTAAGATAATTAGTTTATCATATCACAAAATAAGCAAGCAATATGCGTGAAAACTCATAAGAATATGTATATTTCTATTTCTTAATTAAACTTTTTGACTTAATCATAATATAAATATTGAGAAAAATTATTATCATAAAAAAAATTTTTTTTTGATCAAAATTATTATCAGTTATAATGGAAAATTTTTCGAAAAAAGTTCCTCCGAACATATTTGATCCATCAGAAATCAAAGTTGGCCTCGGATATAGTTATTACTTATCTTGTATTGCTCTTGGTTTTGCTTTCTTATCATTATCAGCAGCCATTTTTAACATTACTTTGCCATGGTGTTTTTTATGGTGATCTTTTTGCTTTTTCTGTAAATACTTTCATTATTTTATTTGTTGTCATTTTGAGAATGCAGAGATATGTCGTTATAATTGAATAAAATAGTGATCTATGTGATATTGGAACTTTTGAAAAATATTTTTGAAAAAATCAAACAGTGTCTACAAGCTTCAATTCAATAAGTTTGAGCAATCGAGTATAATTTGACAAAATAATTTAATAATGTGAAATAGATTTTTTATATGCAATATTATTTTTCACGATATCAATCTTTGGTTCAGCTGTAAGAATTTTAGAAATAAAATTTGCATAAATTAATTAAGTCAATAACTTGTGGAATATAAATATAACTATACTCGAGAAATATCCATTATAAATGCTAATTTTTCGAAGTGATCTATTAGTTTTACATTTAATATTAATAAGGCTTTTAAAAGAAGATCTTTCGGAATATTGGGTTTCTTTAAAATTTATCAGACAGTTATTAATCACAAATGTATAAAATACTCGATGCTTTTTCTAATCAAATTAAGTAAACTATATTTCATTTGAATAGAATTTATATATCGTGATATGTTTAAAACTGCAATTTTTAGTAATATAAAAACTTGTAATATGAAAAATCTCGACTAAGAAACAAAGTTACTTTTTTAATAATAATATTTTGATTTCTGAAAAATTCATACAAATCATACTTGCCATCATATGGAGGAGTAAACGCTTGTTTTACTCTTTTCGTATTCAAAAAAGATTCAGTACCGAATAATAATGGAATGAATAAGTAATTTGTAGTAACTCAAAAGTTATTTGCAATAATTGACTCTTACAATGAATAAAAATAAAAGAGTTTATTAGAAAAACTGCTATTAATACACATTTTGACTTAATACCAAAATGCGGACGAATAAAATCTCGTCCATAGTTGATTCATCAAAATGGCTACGATACGGAAACATTACCCCGCAAGATAAAGCACGATACTGTAAGCTCCAAGATAGAAATATGTTTGGAGTTGAGGAAGGTATGTGCCAACATTGTGGGGAACGTGTGAAGACGGTGGACCATCTAGCAACGCAGTGCGAAAAAATCTTATATCACGACTATCCTAGAAGACACAATGAGGTCCTACGATGTATCCACTTGGGACTCTGCAAGAAGTATGGTCCGAAGGCATTCCCGTGCTTGCGAAGCCATTCTGTTCAGGAGGTCGTCGCAAATGATAATGTTGAGATCAG